GGTTTCCAAGGAGCAGCTGGTGAGCTTGAACTACCGACCTTGCAGTCTGGTGCATTAACCCACAGCGCCACACCAGAACTCCATATATATATACAACATACACACACAGATATATATATATATATATATATCAGTATCCTGTCTTTCCCATTTTTAGATAAATAGAATATATACTTTCCTCCACCTTGCTTTTTTCATTTTATGGTATTTTTGACTGGTCAGAGTTTTAAAATATAGTGTAATTGATTTCTTTCTTTCCTTTTGTTACTTTATGGTAAAAAAAAAAAAATATTGCTCAAATCCAAAACAAAAGGATACTTGAAGCATAAAAGTAAAAGAGTGGAAATAATATACATTGAAGACATTAATACTAAGCAAAAAAAAAAAATAAATAAAGCTGGTTTAACGATACTAAGGTTAAGCAAAATGTACTTAAAGTAAAGAGAATTTCTAGAGTTAAAATGAGTCACTTTACTATGATAAAACTTTCCATTTACCAGGAATATATAACACTTTAAAATTCATGTATATCAAATAACAATACCCACTAATGTATAAAGCTTTGACAGCACATTTCTATATATGTAGCATTTGTCTTTGATTTTCTTCACTCTTCTTTGTTCCAGGTGAGGAGACACCAAATGTTGCACCTTACGTGGCTGCTCACAAGTTTTTAAAGTACCAATTGCTACTTACCCACGTAGGATGCAGAACATTTTCTTTGTGAATTATGGTGTGCCAATTGATCTTGATGTCCATGAAACTATATTGTTGTGCCCCCATGCCCAGCGACTCATTTCTTCAGGATACTTAATTATAGCTAAGAAGTTTTCATGCTTGGTAAAGTGCAGGGAGGGTCAGTGAAAAAGAAGACCCAAACGAAATGAATTGGCACAGTGGCAGCAGCAATGGGCTCAAGTGTAGCAACAATTGTGAGGCACAGGACGGGGCAGTGATTTATTCTGTTGTGCATAAAGTCGCTATGAGTTGGTACTGACTCAACAGCACCTAACAACAACAACAGCAACAAGTTTTCAAAAATTTCCCCCTGGTATGCTTACTTATAATAGGTTAATACAATGTAAATGCTATGTAGCACTTTAAGCTCTCTGTCAGCCTTTGAGGGATTGCTTTGACCACTTAATTGCTTTTTAGGAGCCATTTTATATTCCCATAGAAACAAGGGGTGCATACAACACAAATACCAAACAAATAAGATAAGGAGACTAACAATGTAGATAATGAATGCTGGAGAGAGACTGAGCTATGTCGGGTGGCTACAGCAGGCTAAGGCGGCTAAGGTGACACATCAAATCATTTGCATGGATTCAGCACAGGGGTTGGCTGGTGGACAATTCAAGTTTTGCTTTTGGGAGCTTTCTGGGATTTTTTTTTTTCTGAATGATTTTCAATTCACAATTGATTGCATCTGAGAGTGCTGAACCCATGGATGTTGAGGGCCTGTTTTGATTAAGTAGCCTTGGTGGCACTGTAGGCTAAGCACTGGATTGCTAACTGAGAGGTCTGCTGTTCAAACTCATTTGTCACTCTGAGGGAGAAATATGAGGTTGACTGTTCCCCTAAAGATTTACAGCCTTGGAAACCCTATGTAGGGTAGCTATGAGTCAGAATCAACTTGATGACAGTGGATTTGCTTTTTTGCTTTTTACTCTATTATGATTAGTATAAGTATATATAGAGCTTAGAAGCATAACATTATAGAATTGTTAGGTATTATTAATGTTGCTGTTGTTGTTATTATAATGAACAACACTGAACTCCCCACAGAGTCAATGACTTCCAAAATTCTTTATCTCTTCCTCACAACTGTCTTCTTATATAGACTTAGTGGAAGATAGAGTAGAGTGATTGTTGTGGGTAGCAGCGCTGACTTGTGTCTTTTGATAAGTTTCTATAAAGGTATCTGGCCCCAGTTTTTGGCATTTCCTTGAGGGTACCTCATGCATCTTCACTCTAATCTATGAGGCCCAACAGCCAATCCTCAAGAAATAAATCAAATCCAATTCTGCATTTTATTTCACTTAAATTTACATGTATTTCCACACTGCTGTTGTTAGGTGCTGCCGAGTTGGCTCCTACTCAGAGTGACCCCATATACAACAGAATGAAACACTGCCTGATCTTGTGCCATCCTTATAATCATTGTTATGTCTGAGCCCATTCTTGCAGTCACTATGCTGACCTATCCATCTCCTCGAGAGTTTTCTTCTTTTTCGCTGACCCTCTACTTTACCAATCATGTTGTCCTTTTTCAAGGACTGGTCCCTCCTGATAACATGTCCAAAGTATGTGAGACAAAACCTTGTCATCCTTGCTTCTAAGGGGCACTCTGGTTGTACTTTTTCTAAGACAGATTTGTTTGACCTGGCACTCCATGGTACTTTCAGTATTCTTCGCCAACACTATAATTCAAATACATCAATTCTTCTCAGATCTTCCTAGCTTATATTTATATTTATAAGAGATGCAGTTTGTGAAATGTTTAGAATATCAGATAAAGATGCCTTATCTTGTAGGAATGTTGGAGAATGAAATAAAATTATACAGAGCAATGCTGATCATATCTGGCATCTGAAATCACCATTCTGTTGGAGGATGACAAAGAGACTAGTAAATGCTGTTGCAGTGGAACAGGAGAGGTTGATACATTCTTGACTTAGAGAATGTCATTGGGCCAGAGTAGGCAACTGGAAGGATTCCAGAAATCCTTAGGAAGTAGTCATTGATCTATTGGAAGTTAATCACCAGGCATTTCTTCTAAAGTGCTCCTGTGTGGATTCAAACTACCAACCTTTTGGTTAGTAACCTAGTACTTAACCATTTATACCACCCTGGGATTCCAAATTAGACAAAGGGGTACATAAGTAAGAAGGAAATGTCTGGGAGAAATGAAATACTATTTGATTTGATCTTAAATGAGGGTGTTGAGAAAAGGTGGAAGCTTTTGGGAAAATTTTGAAAGTAGTAAAAAGACTGTGGGAATGGTAAAAACTGGGAGAGAAAGGGCATAGTACTAAGATGGAACTAGTAAAATTTTGTTGTTGACTTTTGGTATCTGAAAGTAAGGGCAAGGCACTGTGGGATTATGGTCTCATGGTTCATCAATTAGAAGGATCTCACATGGGGAACCTCCAGTTGCCCTGTACATTTTAAACTTTCAAAAATGTGTCTGCCTGGAGGTCTATATTTATATTATGACTCAGCATCAGAAACAGGTGGCTAGTTCTTTTTTATCCTCCCTTGAAATGTTTTCCAATGTCCATAACTATATCATATTTTCTGATTATTAAAGGAATATAATAACTTTATGGATAATTTGAACATAAAAGGAAATTGCTGAAACAAAAGTAAAAAACACAATCTCAACCATTATCTCTTGTCCTAGTTGATCCCTCTCCCCCCAGTTTTGTTCCAAGGATTGGACAGCAAGGGAAATGGCCATTATTAGTGGCTGGCAGAAGGGTTGATGGAGGGAAGTCTACTATTTTTCTGCTCTTATAGTCTAGAAGAGGAAAAGTAATCCTTCCTCTCAACACAGTCACTAAAACAGCAGCAATGATTAATATGACTATGGAAAGATGCAGCTCCTCCCTGGTAATGAGAGAAAGGCAAATTCCAATCGCCCAGAAGGGGCCCACTTTTGACCTCTGGAATTAGCAAAGGCAAAACTGAGTGACAGGGCCTGGTGTGGTGGGAGGGTGGGGGGTGGAGGGAGGTGGGGGTTGATAAGCCATCCCACTCCTGCAGCATTGCTGGCAGGAGGGGAAAGTGGGGACCACAGTTGGAGGATGACATAATCCTCACGTGATCAGTAGCTGACGTGAGCAGAAGTCCTTAAATTCCCGGGCTTCTTTCTCCTCTGGGTACCAGCTCCTTACTGCTTTGCAGGCGTGCTTGCTTGTACAGGCCAAGGGAAGGAAGAGGTAAATTCTTCAAATCCTAGCAGGTTGGTGTGAGGGGTCCTAGTGAGGGAATCTAGTGATCTGAGTAGGTAAGTCCAGGCTTGTTTTTCCCAACCTTCTGCAAATGCATTGGAGATACTTGTATGTTTCCAGGTGACAGAGGGCATGGAGGGTGGGTAGGGAAGCTCCTTGAGATTAGTGATAGTTTAGAAGACATCATTTTTTCTTATTCTAGGATGCTTTTCCTTTAACTCCCTTTTCTTTCTCTAATTAAGTTGGAGGAAATAGTGGGTCCGGAGTATGGATTAGTGACTGGATAACTGCTGGAATTCTGGAATGTGGGCAAACACTTTTAGAGATAATTTTTTCATACTTTCCTTCACTCATTGCTTGCCTACCAGGGAAAGGGGAGAAGGAAACGGTGGGCTTTACAAGGAGCAGGCCTGAAGATGAAGCATGAGAGTAGAGATAGTGATCCAAGAGGAAGAGATACGTACAGAAAGGCAACCAGATGGTAGGAAGTCACAGGCAACGTCCTGATGAGGATCTGGTATTCAGGAAAACGACCTATGTCTTATTTTAGGGGCTGGTCGCTTCACAGAGAGCTCCCTTCTCCTGTCGGCTTCTTTTCTATCTGCAGGTCTAAGGGTCTGTCGTTCACAACATCTTAAGGCCATAAAAAGAGGAGGAAACTACCCCAATCAAGACAGGTCAGTGTGAGGGAGGTCCTCACCAGGGATCTCTGAGGGTGGGAGTTGGTAAGGGCAGGAGCTGAGTAAAATCTTTTTTACAATCCACCTCCCCATCTGTTCTCCAGCTTCTGCCCATTGAAGGGGCCATTAGCCTGGTCTGCTGGGGAAACTTCGGGGGAGAGGAAATGAAGCAGAGGGGAGTGGGTGGACTGAGGGGAGTGTATGGAGGGAGGACAACATCTCCAACGCCTAAGGGCAGGATCAGGAGGATTAGGCGAATATTTTGCCTCAAATAGAAATTGACAATCCTGAGTCAAGTAACAAAACCAAGCATTCCTTCTCTATATTTTCTTACCCGAGTTAAGTAGGAAACAGCAATAACATTATGCAAAAACCCTGCAAAGAAAATGAAGAAAAGCCCAAATGCAACGTGCCTAAAAAAGAGGAAGAACGCCCTTATGGAGAATTCCAACGCCAGCAAACGGAAGGGAATTTCAGGCAAAGGCTGCTTCAGTCTCTCGAGGAATTTAAAGAGGACATAGACTATAGGCATTTTAAGGATGAAGAAATGACAAACGAAGGAGATGAGATGGAAAGGTGTTTGGAAGAGATAAGGGGTTTGAGAAAGAAATTTAGGGCTCTGCATTCTAACCATAGGCATGCTCGGGACCGTCCTTATCCCATTTAATACATTTTTTTTTTTTGCCGTGAATTCAACTATTTCTTACTTTTAATATTGCCACCATTGCTTTCTTTTTGTTTGCATTTTCTTGATAAATATTTCCTATTATTTTACTTTAATCAATTTATGTTGTATTGATTTGACTTGTTACCAACATCTCATATTTTGATCCAATCTCAATCATTTAATAAGATAATTTTGTTCATTTACATGGGAAGATGGTCACTGTGTAATACAAATTTAAAGTAATAACTTGCAAAGCAGTATATATGTATAAATATATATATTCATAGCTGTATAATACCATATATGTACATTTATATATGATAAAGGAAATTGAAGTTTTGTACATCAGAAGGTTAACAGTGAATCTTTGTGTATTTATTATTTTTTCTTCTTCTTTTGGCCTATCTTCATCTTCTCATTTTCCAAAAAAAAAGTGTATATATGCTACTTGTATCACACATGCAAACAAAACAAAGAAAGAAAAGAAAAAAAACAGACAAAATAAGTTTGAAAGGCTGTGAAACAATAAACTCTTATTAATAGAACTACAAAAATAAAAAATAAATGTAACTGTCAAATTACCTCCGGATCTCTTAGTCAAAGGAATAAAACTGACAATTATTACAAATATTCTTTTAAGACTCAGTCTTTCATGGGGAAGATAATTGCCTCACAGGGTTGCTCTGGGAAAGAAAAGTTACTCTGACCTGTGGTTGATGGACTCTTGATCCCACCTACAGGACCCCAACACACTATTGAACCATTAATGATTTGAGGGCAGTTCCTGGCATGAACCAACCTGTGTTCAGGTACAAACAAGTCCAGCAGGCTCAGAGGTGGGGGCTTCCATGCCATTTCTTAGCCATTGAACCCTACGCCTGGGTCCTACCATGCCTGCTAAGAATGGTTGCCTCTTCTGCAGGGTCTTTTGCTCCCTGATAGCCTCCACTACTACTAATGCCGAAATTCCATTGAGTTCTCTCAAGTTTCCAGGGGATCCAATCCCCACTATATCTCTAAAGACTTCCTGCTTTATATCCATGCTTAACACAGGTGGATACTACTCCAGGGTTTCTTGGGCCTTGATCTCTTACATTTCTTGGTAAAATACCCTCTCCATTTTCAATCACAGGAACTCCCCTCTTTAGCACACAGTTGTGATGAATTCATTTGGGAACTGGACTGAGATTCAAGTTTGAGTGATGGCATGCCGTAGCCAGAGTTGCAGCCATGCTGTGTGTTTTTGAGTTGATTCTGGCACATAGTAACTCTATAGGACAAGGAAGACCTGCCCCATAGGATTGTCTAGGCTGTCTTCTTTATGTATGGGAGCACATCATCAAGCTTTTCTACCTTTGAAGCTGGTGGGTTCAAACCACTGACCTTCCAATTAGCATCTGAGTACTTAACCATTGCACCACTAGGGCACATTAGTTGCTGCCATGGGTGTAAGGTTTTGACTATCTTCTCTTGTGAAAGGATCTTTTCCTGTAGGCTTCTGGCAGGTCTGCCTAAACGGATTCTTCAGACTCTTGGGGAACTTGTGGAAATTACTCAAAATGATGCAAAGAATAATAGATCTTAAGAGAACAAACGATCTTCTTCTTCACCCCATGCCATTCCCACGAGACTTAGGCTAGGTTCTCTAGAGAATCAAAATCAATGAAGTGTGTAGAGATGTATGAGACAATAGTTCATGGAAAAATGAAATCAAAGGTAATGGACTTTTTCAAACACACAGGCACACATACACACACATTTCCAAATCTGTAAATCTTTATAGGAACAGAAAGCCTCATCTTTCTCTTGTGGAGCAGCTGGTGAGTTTGAATCACCAACCTTGTGGTTAGCAGACCAGTGCTTATCCTACAGTACTACCAGGGTATGTGTATCTATATCTATGATATCTATATCTATATTGTTGTTGTTAAGTGCTGTTGAGTCAGTTCCTACTCATACTCAGGGACCCTGTATATGGTATCCAATGAATGGCTGGTGAGTTTTAACCACTGATCTTGCAGTTCAAACCGACCTTGTGATCCAGTGCTTTTCCTACAGGACCATACCAAACTGTTGTTAGGTGCCATCGAGTGGGTACCGACTCATAGCGACTCTATGCACAACAGAACAAAACAATGCACATAGTCCTACGCCAACCTCACAATAGTAGCTACACCTGAGCCCCTTGGTGCTGCCACTGTGCCAATCCATCTCCTTGGGGGGCGGTCTTCCTCTTTTTCTCCAATCCTCCACTTAACAAACATGATATCCTCCAGTGACTGGTCCTTCCTGATAATACATCCAAAGTATGAGAGACGAAGTGTGGCCATCCTGGCCTCCAAGGAGCACTCTGGCTAAACTTCTTCCAACAGAGATCTGTTTGTTCTTTTGGCAGTCCATGTTGTTGTTGTTGTTGTTGTTAAGTGCCATCGAGTTGGTACTGACCCAATGTACAACACAACGAAACACTGCCCCGTCCTGGGCCAACCTCACATTTGTTGCCACGCTTGAGCCCATTGATGCTGCCACTTTGCCAATCCATCTCTTACTTTCAGTATTCTCCTCCAACACCAGAACTCAAATGCATAAACTCTTCTATGGTATTCCTTATTCACTGTCCAACTTTTACATGCATATGAGGTTATTGAAAATACCGTGGCTTGGGTCAGGTGCACCTTAGTCCTCGAACTGACATTTTTGGCCTTCAACACTTTAAAATGGTCTTGTGCAGCAGATTTGCCTAATGCACTATGTCGTTTGATTTATTGACTGCTGATTCCATGAGTATTGATGGTTGATCCAAGCAAAATGAAGTCTTTGACAACTTCAATCTTTTCTCCATTTATATGAATGTTGTTTATTGGTCCAGTGGTGAAGATTTTTTCTTTGTTTTACATTGAGATGCAACTCATACCAAAGACTGTGGTCTTTGATCCCCATCAGTAAATACTTTAAGTCCTCTTCACTTCCAGCAAGCAAGGTTATATCATCTGCATGTTGCAGGCTGCTAATGAGTCTTTGTCCTATCCCGATGCCGCGTTTTTCTTCATATAATCCAACTTCTCAGATTATTTTGTCAGTTTACAGATTGAATAAGTACCGTGTAGGAATATGACCCTGTGCACATCTTCCCTAATTTTAAACCATTTGGTGTTCCTTTGTTCTGACGGAACAACTGCCTCTTGGTTTTTGTACAGGTTCCTCATGAGCACAATTAAGTGTTCTGGAATACTTATTTTCCACAATGTTGTCCATAGCTTGTCATGAGTCACACAATCGAAAGTCTTTGCATAGCCAATAAAGCACAGGTATTCTCTGCTTTCAGCCAAGATCTGTTTGATGTCAGCAATGATATACCTTGCTCCACATCCTCTTCTGAATCTGATTAGAACTTCTGGAAGTTCTTTGTCAATGTATGTTTGCAGCCATTTTTGTATTATCTTTAGTAAAACTTTACTCACATGGGATATCAATGATTTCAGCATTCCATTGGGTCACCGCTCTTTGGAATGAGAACAAATATAAATCTCTTCCAGGCTGTTGGCCAAGTAGTTGTCTTCCAAATTTCTTGGCATAGATGAATGAGTGTCTCCAGTGTCACATCAGTTTGTTGAAAAACTTCAATTTGTAATCCATTTATTCCAGGTGCCGTGTTCTTTGCCAATTTCTTCAATGCACTTCAGATTTCTTTCTTCAGGACCATTGACTCTTGATCTTATGCTACCTCTTGAAATGGTTGAACATTGACTATTTCTTTTTGGTACAGTGACTCCGTGTATTCCTTTCATCTTCTTTTGATGCTTTCTGCATCATTCAATAATTTGCCCAGAGAATCCTTCAATACTGCCATTGGGCTTGAATTTTTTCTTCAGTTTCCCCAGCTTGAGAAATGTTCTTCCCTTTTGGTTTTCTAACTCCAGGCCTTTTTACATTTAGTTATAATATTTAACTTTGTTTTCTTGAGCTGACCTTGAAATTTTCTGTTTAGCTCTTGTACCTCCTCATTTCTTCCATTTGCTTTAGCATATCTATGCTGGAGAGCAAGTTTCAGAGTCTTTTCTGACATCCATTTTGGTCTTTTCCTTCTTTCTTGTCTTCTTAATGACCTTTTGCTTTCTTCATATATGATGTTCTTGATGTTATCCCACAACTCTTCTGGTCTTCTGTCTTTAGTGCCTAATCCATGAAATCTGTTTTTTGGATGATCTCTAAATTCAGGTGGGCTATATTCAAGGTTATATTTTGGCTCTCTTGAGTTTGTTTTAATTTTCTACAGTTTCATCTTGAACTCTTTCCCATTCTTCCCCTGGCCTTATTTTGACTGATGATATGGAGTTTTTCCATTGTTTCTTTTCACAGATGTAGTCAATTTGATATCTGTGTATACCATCTGGTAAGGTCCACGTATATAGTCATTTTTTAGGTTGTTTAATAAGGTATTTGCAATGAAGAAGTCATTGGTCTTGCAAAATTCTATCATGAAAGCTCCAGCATCATTTCTATCATTGGGCCATATTTTCCAATTACCAATCCTTCCTGTTTGTTTCCAACCTTTGCATTCCAATCACCAGGAATTATCAATACATCTCGATGGCATATTTGATCAATTTCAGACTGAAGAAGTTGGTCGAATTTCATTACTGGCTTCAGTGGTTGGTGTGTATTTGAATAATAGTGGTATTAACTGGTCTTCCTTGTAGGTGCATGAATATCATCCTATCACATACAGCGTTGTACTTCAAGACAGAGCCTGATATGTTGTTTTTGATGATGAATGTCACACCATTCCTTTCAATTTGCCATTCCCGGTACAGTAAACCATGTGATTTCAGATTCAAAATGGCCAATACCATTCCATTTCATCTCACTAATGCCTAGGATGTGTTCTATTTAATTTTTGACAACTTCCAATTTTCCTAGAGTCATACTTTATATATTCCATGATCTGATTATTAATGGATGTTTACACCTATGAAGGTCCCTAGGGCTTTACTGCATGT